CACAAACACATGCGTGCACACTCACATACTCACGCACACACACACTCACACACACACAAACACGCACACAAACACACGCGCACACACTCGCACACACACGCACACACACACACACACACGCACTCACACATCAGAGGACAAGCTCCATCTTAAATGAGTGAAAACAGTTCATGCTTTGATTAACAAAGTGTATCTAATCATTCTAAGAACATTTTCAGAACTACTTCAATTCAAACAATATAGATGTACATACCACACACTAACTGCATCATCACAAAAATATTTTAATGAGCAACATTTCGGTCCAAAATGAAACATTGCTCACTGAAATATTTTTGTGATGAATAGAGCGTGGGATTTATATTTTCCTCATTTATGTTGTTATTTCACTGGATGCATCAATGGTTGATTCAGTTCTATTTTTAGATGTACTTCAATTAAAATACTCAATGTTATGATATATCAAAATAAAGTATTTTGCAGAGTATTATCTTTACTTACTACTCTTATTTATATAATAATTTGAATAATAGGAACAGTGCTCTATTGAACGTTGATAAACATTGAACTGATTATTGAATTATATTAAATTTTCGGAATAAAAAAAAATTAAGTATGCGTTGTGTTTCAATCACAGAACACTTTCGCGTCATGTCGAATGGAGCAACGCCATTGGTTTAACGCGTAAGACGTCAGTGGGCTTTAACTTCCGGGTAGAGTAATGTAATGTTGACGCAATCAGCTGAAAGTTGATGACTGGTTTTGGTTTAATCTCTCTCCGCACAGGCGCTTTGATGAGACGGATCAGGTACTGTCTCTAATTCTGCTTTATTAGAAATATAATCGCGTAATTAGTTAAGGGACAGTTGTTTTGCTCGAGAGTAAGATAAGCGAGCTAAGCAGCTAGCAGCGTTTGTGTTGTTTTGACTGGAACATTTCGACACGAATGTGTAAATAATATATAATATCTGTATTTACTGTCATGTACTCTGTCTGTATGTGTGTTGAGTCTGTCAGCACAGTGTATTACTGGACATATATATATGTGTGTGAGTGTGTGTGTGTGTAGAGAGAGAGAGAGTGTGTGTGTGTGTGTGTGTGTGTGAGAGAGAGAGACAGAGAGAGAGGAGAGAGAGTGTGTGTGTGAGAGAGAGAGAGAGAGAGTGTGTGTGTGTGTGTGTGTGTGTTGTGTGTGTGTGTGTGTGTGTGTGTGAGAGAGAGAGAGAGTGT